CCGCAGGAAGAACCTCTGTGGTATGACACGCGGGACCCCGTCGACAAGAACCTGTCGCCAGCCCAGGCTCTAACATGGGTCAAGAAGCTGGCCTTTGGCCTCGAGCGATTCGGCCTCAAGCGCGGCGATGTTGTCATGATCTTCACGCCCAACCAGATCTTCGTGCCCGTCGCCTATCTGGGCATTGTCGGCGCCGGCTACATCTTCAGCGGCACCAACCCCGGCTACACTGTACCTGAGGTTGTTCACCAGATGACCAACACCCAGGCCAAGGTCGTGCTCGTCCACCCGAGCCTCGTTGATACCGCTCTTCAGGGCGCCAGCAAGGCCGGCATTCCCAAGTCCAACATTTTTTTGTTCTCAGACGTCGAGAACAAAACGCCGGTGCAAGGTGTGGTCGACTGGCGCCAGGGACTGGCGGGATCGGATGCCGATGCCGCACGCTACAACTGGCCCGAGCTGGCACCATCCGAGTCCAAGACGACCGTGGCCACCATCAACTACAGCTCCGGCACGACCGGTCTGCCCAAGGGTGTCATGGTCTCACACGCCAACCTAATCGCCAACGTCGACCAGACCATCTTCATCCGGTACGCGCACAAGCCGTACGCCTTCAAGGACCGCCCACAGGAGCGCTGGATCGGCTTCCTGCCACTGTACCACGCGTACGGCCAGCTGTACACGATCCTGATGGCCATCAAGCTGCGTGTGCCCATCTACATCATGACCGAGTTCCGGTATGAGGAGTTTCTGTTCAACGTTGGCAAGTTTCAGATTACCAGTCTGCAGATTGCGCCACCCATTCTCGTCATGCTCTCGAAGCGGCCTGAGACGCAGCGCTACGACCTGCGGTCGGTGCGCGACGTGCTCTGCGGCGCCGCGCCGCTCAGCCGCGAGCTGCAGAACGAGTGCCAGCGCCGCTTCAACATGCAGATCAACCAAGGCTGGGGCATGACGGAGGTGACATGCGGCGCGATCCATGTACCCGGCGGCGTCAAGGACGACTCGGGCAGCGTGGGCCGGCTGGACCCCAACTGCGAGTGCCGCTTGGTCGACGAAGACGGCAAGGAGGTGAAGCTGGGCGAGCCGGGCGAGCTGCACGTGCGCGGTCCCAACATTTGCATGGGCTACTGGCGCAACGAGGAGGCGACCAAGGAGTGCCTGGTGCCCGACGGCTGGCTGAAGACGGGCGACATTGCCGTGTGCAACAAGGAAGGCTACTTTTGGATTGTGGACCGGAAGAAGGAGCTGATCAAGGTCAATGCGCTGCAGGTGGCACCGGCGGAGCTTGAGGGCGTGCTGCTCGAGAACGACCACGTGGCGGATGCGGCGGTGGTCGGCATCACGCTCAACGGCGAGGAGTTCCCGCGGGCATACGTGACGATCCACGAGACATCCAAGGGCAAGGTGACACCCGGGGACATCCAGGCGTGGATGGCATCGCGGGTAGCCAAGCACAAGCGGCTGACAGGCGGCGTGGTCTACGTAGACGAGGTGCCGAAGCTGGCGTCGGGCAAGATCCAGCGCAAGACGATGCGCGACTGGGCCAAGCGGGACGCGGCCGAGATTATGCGGAAGCGCGCCGCGGGCAACAAGTCGAAGCTGTAGACGGAATGGAGAGGCAGATGAGGCAAACAGGAGTGAAAAGATACGACCAAGGACACCTCATGGAAAGGGTAGTCAACCCAGACCATTCGAACACGGTTCATAAAGTCATCCAAGCTTCTTCTGCATCGAATCGGATTTATGGTTTTAGATAAGAGCTTTTGCTTTGCTGTTCCATTATATACTTGCTTATTTGTCCCGTTCTTAGTAGTGGTTCCTCTGTACATACGCATATATATGAAAGAAGCATTGTATATCGATAAAGACGCAGAACGATGGGATGCTGAACGAAAAGAGCCTTGGTCAGTGGCCTTGATTGCTGCACAATCTGAGACTCTACACATATTCTCCATTGAAATACCGTAAGCATAAGCCGTCACTGGCCTTGGCGCCGGGACAACTCAGCCGGCACCAGGCGTGCTTCCCCTAAAACAATCCTTCGTTTTGACTCGTAGGCTGGTTGATCCTCAAAAGCAACCTTTGCCGGCTTGCTAGCCTACCATCCTCGTACTCTAGCCACTCTCTCTGAGTATTCATTCTCCGTGGGCGCATAGAACGTGCATACAGCAGCGTACATATTAACGACGACCCACTGTTCCCTTTTGCCACGATGGGTTCCCGACAACATCTCGTCAGAGAAGCCGTCATCACTTGACTCAATGGCTGGTGCTTTGTCTTACGTTCATACCATTTACACGTTAGGCATGTGAGCTATTACAGCTCATGAAGGTTGTCAAGATGATGTCACAAGACAAGATATCACAAATGCAAGCTGTAAACATGGACAAAGTTGGAGAAATGGAGTGGCGAGACGGAAGCTTTGCTCCTCTCGGGCATCGTGTTCGAAAGATACGCATCGGTGCATGTTCGCCATGCGCACCTTTTGTCTGTAATGTGGTGTAGGAACAGAGTCGTGATCGGTCGTTATCGTCAACGTATTCGTACAAATAAAAAAAGGCCGAAAGCCGCCCTCCTCTCCCACAGTTACTTCTTCTCGTCTCCGCTGGCATCTTCCTCAGCAAACTCGCTCGCCCTCGAGGCGGTCGGGTTGTTCTCGCCGCCTAGCGCCGTGGTGGCCGCCTCGCCGAGCTGGTCCACTGCCTGCTGCAGCTTGTCGCGGTACGCCGTCAGGTCCGTCGGCACATTGCCAAGGGCCACTGCAGAACGTTAGAAGGGGATCAACTCAAAGCCAAGAGAGAAAAGAGAACACCTACATCGATCAAACAGGTAGTACGATGTCACCAAGAAAATGGGCATTGCCACAATTAGCGACGTCCACTGCCGCGTCGCCTTCTTATACTCGGGCGTGTCGGCAATGTTAGGCACCGCCGTGGCACCGCCGCCGCCGACATCGCTGCCGTCGTAGAACGGCTCCTTCTCTTCAGCACTTAGTGTAAGGCGGGCCCGCCCAGGAGCAGCGGGCGGGGGCGTGGCAGAAGATGTCGTCGAGGCCATGGCCGCAGCAGCCGACCGGGCAGCCGCTGCCGACATGGGTGGCGGGCGCGGCGTCGTCGGTGGCGCCGCTGCCAGGCGCAGGCGCTTCAGCTCGGCCAAGGCCTCTTCCTGGCTGGCGGCCGCATATGCGGTCTGCTGGGCAGTAGGCGGCGGTGATGGTGGTGTCTGTGCGGTCTTCGAAGCTGCCGCAAAGCGCGGCGTGCGTATCGCAGGGGCCGAGGCAGCAGTCGCAGAAACAGATGCCGCAGCTGCTTTCTTCGTCGCCGTTCTCCTTGTTGTCGTGCTGCTGGCCGTCGTTGGCTTGGCTGACGGGGGTGTTATTGGTGCTGCCGCCTTGGCAGGAGTTGCAATCTCCGCTGTTGTCTCTGTTGCTGTCGCTGTCGCTGCAGCCGCCTTCTTTCTTGTTGATGTCGTCTTAGTCGCCGTTGCGCTCGCCGTCTTGGATGCCGAGGCTCTTGTCTTCTTTACAAGTGCCGGTGCGGCTTCTGTTGTGTCGGCTTCGGCTACCGGCTCGGCTTCCTTCTTCTTTCTGCCCCGTGTTGCCTTTACTGGTCCCGCTGTCGTAGAAGGATCCTCCGCTGCAGCCGCCGCCGCCACCGCTGCCGTCGCCACCTTGCTGCTGACGCGCTTTCGCGTCGTCGCGGCCGCCGTGCTTGTCGGCAAGACTTCGGCCGCCGCTGATGTAGCGCGAGACGTGCGTGTGGCGCGGGGCTTGGTTGTCGAGGAAGAAGAGGACGAGGACGAGGACGCAAACCGGACTGCAGCAGGCGACGGCCCGGTTTGGGCTCCCTGCCGTGCGACCACGGCGGCCGGCGCTGCACCGTTCACGAGGCAGCCATAGCATGCAGCCGCAGCCGCTCGTTGCGCGCCGTTGGCTGCGATCCACGACATGGCGGATGATGTGTGATTGCTATAAAGGAGAGTGTCAACCGCAAGATGTCAGCAGTCTTGAACAGGAGGGCGCAAAACGCCGCGGTGGGGGAACAGGCAGTGGCACCGGGTCCAGACGTACCTCAATGGCCAATGTGGAGGGTGATGCAAGGACGTAGCCCAAAAGAAAGGCCGACAAGAAAGGCCACAATACAATGATCCCAGGAAAACGAGACAACAAAAAATGCCAAAAATCGGAATCCCGAAATCAACAGAGGCAAATGGGAAGACGCCAGAACAGAGGAGCGCAAACACCCCCACTCTCTTGCAATGCCGACAACAACGTTGTCAATAAACAAAAAGAGGGGACCGATTGCTAAAGTGGCATGTCTCGTCGGGAACGCGCTGTGGCTCTTTAATTTCCCCTTTGTATGCCCCTTTTCGCGTCTGTTTCGCGCAGCTCGAGATTTTAACGCCAGTTTGTGCCGTCTTGTTGGCGGCTCCTTCCCATTTTTGACACTTCCTCACCTGCTTTCCAATTCATGCGGGGAGACGCTAAATTTTCTGGAAACTCCCAAATACGAACTAGCGCCACAATCAGCACGACCGGCTGTCAATAGCCAATGAGATGCCAAGCTGCTGTCAATGCACAGTATTATGATATCGCCTCGTTTTGAACAATGTTATATGAAGGATGATATACCAACGGACTCGTGGCTGGTTTATATTATTACATTCTTTTACATCCAATAAATGCATTTGTCTCGCTTCTATCTGCTAGTTGTAAAATCAAAGCTTTTATGCATATTATGTTTAGCATTTATTTCGTAAAAATAATTAATTAATAGGTTCATTAAATCGAAAATAACCAACAAATCAAGCCACATGAATACATCAGAAGCACCCTAATAAGTTAGTTGTATGTATATGTCTTGTATTCTGGACAGAAACAAGCAGCACTCGAGTCGTTTCACTCTTCAAAGTCGCTTTTATTTTCAAACTCCCAGAACATATGGCGTACTATTTTACAGTCATATGAAAGATAAAAGGCACAGAGTTCTCGCCGACCCTTAAAAGTACGACATCCGCGACCAGCCTAGCACGCCCTCAAGCGCCGCCCGGGCATCCAGCGCGCTGGCAAAGCCTACTCGCCCGGCAATCTCGCTCTTCCGCCCGGACCCCAGCTCCACCCACCGCGCCAGCAGTGCACCGTCCACGACGCTGCGGCCCACTGCGGCGTCCACGCCAGGCGCCTCAATGGCCGCATCGTCGGCCGCGCCAGCCGCCACGCGATAGCCCTTGGGGTTGAGGCCGGCAGTGTGCGTCAGCGACGTGGCCATTTGCGCGGCCAGTGACGATAGCCGGCGGTACTCGGACTCGGACAGTGGCGCCAGAGAGGCGAGCACGCCCGTGGGGCTGGCCATCAAGAGATGCTGCGCGGGTGGATGTCCGGCCTGGCGCTCGTCGTCGTCGTCGACTCCCATGGCGACGTTTGCACCTCCGTTTTCATCCCCGTTGGTGTGACCATTGGGGTGACCATTGGGGCGACCGTTGGCAGCAGCATCGTCGTCGTTCACTGGCGTTGACGGCAGTAGAATCGAGCTTGTGGCAAAGTGCGCACCTGTACAGAATGTGGCCCGGTGCAGCAAAAGATGGCCCTGCAGTGATTTGGGATCTGGGCATGTTTGTTAGTACTTGTGCAACAAGCAGTCACTCAGTTGTTGACAGGGACGGCAGCTACTCACGCTCCGGTTCAAATTGCAGGACATGGAGGTTGCCCTCGCCATCGGTCGCCACAATGAACAGCTCTTTGCCGTCGGGCAGCAGGTCCACGTTGATGGCCCCCAGCCGCGTGTTGCTCTTGCCAAACAGAATCATCTTGTACGGCTCCTCCGTGTACCCCGTGAACCACACGCCCTTGAACGCGTCCGCCATTACGCACAGGCCGGTCCCCGGCAGCTCCTTGGCGCTCGTGACGTAGCAGTTCATATCCATAAACGCCACTGGCAGAAGCGTGCCGTCTTCTTTGAGACCGCGCACCAGACACTTTTGCCCCTGCGCCACCAGCATCAACCCTTGTGTGCCAATCTCCGAGAGCGCCGTCACGGCGCCGCGGGGAATATCCTCCTTGGCTACCAGCTTGAGTTTGCGATTCGTCTCTGGCCGCCCCGGCTCCGGAATCACAGTCACCACGTCGTACACGTACACGCGGCCGCGGATGGCCAGGTCCTCGCCGCGCGAGATGGCTGTGCCTACCGTGACCAGCTGCTTGCGCTCGTTGGTTGACTCGGACACTTCCAAATTGAGCGTCTTGACGCACATAATTACCTCATACTGCTCCATCTCCGCCGTGTCAATGACCGTCCAATTGACGGGGCTGACGAGCTGCAGCTGGCCCTGTTCGACTTGCGGCTTGAACGAAATGTTCTCTTTGGCCCACTCGGCCCGGTGGTTTTCGTCCTTGGGCAGCTCAAAGTCGACGAGTGTGCTGGCGCCCACTGCGTACACCTCGGACGGCGGGTGGTATGCGACGGTGTTGGTATCGACATTGAGTGGGACCTTGCGTACGCATACGCCTAGCTCGGCAAAACTGGTGCCCGCAGGCAGAGAGCACACTCGACTGGATCCCTCGGCATCGACATAGATAAATCCGCGCTCGGATCCTTGCGTGTGGAACGAACTGAGACTCCGGACGGCGCTGCCTTGGAGGTTGAGCACTCTGGGCAACGACTTGGCCGACTTGAGAACAAAGCTGGGCGAGGCACCGGGGAGGAAGACTGTGCTGTAGCCACCAATGTTGGCAAAAGCACGCAGCGGCATGATGCGGGGCGGAGGGCTGTTTTCATCTTGTGACGGAGGAGGCACAGCTGGCGCTTTTGCAAAGGTGCCGTTTGGTACTTTCAAGAAGCGGAGGCTTTTTGCGAGTGTCTCTGGGGCAGAAGCCACGCTCGCCCGGATCGGCTGGTAGATGGTCAAGTCGTCGTTGGAGTGGCGGAGGATCAGGTACGGCGACTTGGCGACTGTGTCACCCAGGTCGGCCACCAGAAGCTCTGTCAGCTCCTCCCTTGTCGTGCCCCGTCTCGCCGTGTAGTCTGCCGACAAGAGCGGAGGTATGTAGCTGAGGCCGTCTGCAACGTATAATTGCTTGAGCGAGGGGAGTGAGTAGATCTGGAAGGATATTAATTAGCGGCATGAGATAAAGTAGCACGGTCAATTAAAAGTAGGCATGGAAACGGTCTCTTACGTGAAATTGTCCCGCTTCACTAAGCAGGAACATCAGAATGTTCCCCTCTCCACTGGCGTTGTCAGAGAAGGCACCTATCGTGTCGTGATACAGACAGCCTGTTGCCCACTTCGTCGAAGTCAGCGGCTCGTCTTCCCGCTCGAGCTCCTCAAGCTCAAAGTCTTTGTTCATCTTCGCAACAAACGCGCTTGCGTCGTCACGGATCACCAACAGATATTCGTCGGTCATGCTTGAGCTCAAAATTTTGAGCTCGACGTCGGTGTCTTCGTCCATCATTGGAAGAATCTGCGATAAACCAAGGTCTGCAAAGATTAGCAAACGGGAGAAAAGGATGTAAAAAAGATGAAAGCAATAAAGGGCGATATAAGCTTACCTCCATCGTAACACCGCACTTCGGACTTGAGGACCTGAATAATGCGCTTGTGCTTGCCCATGGTGCCGGCATGCACCGTCGACCCGGCCTCTGGATCAAACTCGGTGCCCGTAAGCTTTTCAAAGCCGGTGCCGGTGACAGCGTAGACGTGAGACCGTTCAAAGCCGTCCTCCTCTTCCGTGGCCACAATCATAAACTTGTCGTACTGGGCTGGCGATTCGTAGTCGTCGCCAACCGTGGCGCCACCCTTCTCGCCCTGGAGCGTCTTGGGAATCGGCTTGGACGCGCACACGGTCCACAATGCCTGTGCCTCGGAAAAGTCAAAGACGCCGATGGGCTCGGGATTGATCTCCCGGTTCAGAAGCGCCAGCGCCCCTGCCTTCCCTCGGCCAACAGCACAGACCAGACTGAGATCGCTGCGGATCTTCTTCTCGTTGATTGATTTACCTGCTTCGCCTGATGAAGGCGGAGTACCAAAGGTCATGTCCCGAATCGGCGAGATGCTGATCAGGCGATCGTGGATGCGGAAGCTCAAGTCGCCGCTGCCCTTCCCAGAGCCGCCCTGCGCACTAGATAGCTGTATTGTCGACGGACCATCCCCGTACAGGTCGTCGTCGTCTTCTTCATCCTCAATTTCTTCGCCGTCTTCTAGGTCGTCATCAAAGGGCTCGTCGCCGCTTTTTTGCTTCCGTCGTGTCGTTTCTGTTTGCTTCCGCGACCATCCCAGGACAACCGAGTCGGCATCCTCGCTGCCGGCAAATAGCGCCTGTCGGCCAACCCGTGTGAGGTAGGCGACGCCCGATAAAAGGGACCCGCCGCCCGCTTCTTGTGAGACGGGCTTTATGCTCACACCGGATACAACCCGACCGTCCAAAACGAGTGTCACCACCGCAATCCTGCCGTCGTTCAGAACCAGGAGAAGCTCACCTGACTCCGGGGACATAATCTCGATATTGCAGCCCTCGAGTCGCAGGCCGAGCTCCGACTGGTCGGCGAGGCCAAAGGATGTGCTCTGTTTCGTGAAAGGGTTCACAGCCACGCCATTAGCACGGCCAGACTGATCGATATGGATGAGCTCGTTCGTGCCAATGAGCAGAGCACCGCCGATGGGCGACGGCACAGGAAAAACGCGGAACAAGTCCTGGGGCAGATTGGTGACCGAGAGGATCGTTGTAGACGCCTTCTGCTGCAAATCCAGTGTAAACACCATGTACGAGAGGCAGTCGCGACGGCCGAGGACAGTCGACGGCTGTGTCGCCGAGGAGAGAATGCCAAAGGTGGGCTCCCGGTATTCGTGGAGGAACGAGAGGTGGACGGGGTGCAAAAGGGTTGGGTCGAGGTTGGAGAGGCGGAGAACGAACGAAGGCGCAAACGGCGTGTCTTCAATGGGCCCGCCTGCTCCGGTGACCACGGCCGCAGCCGCATCCTTGGCTGGCCGCGGCCCGTCCAGCTCCTCATCCCAGTCATCCATGTCAATATCCTCCTCGTCGGGCTGGCGAAACGGCAAAATGGCAAGGTTGCGGGCGCCAAATCGAAGCGCTGCACATCGGCTGCCGGGGTCGGCAACGAGGAAGTTGGCATAGTCTCCCAGTGGTGCGGCCCACGGCGCACCCTGCAGCTCGTCCTGCTCGTAGTAATGGATGGAGATTGTGGAGAGGTCGTTGGACTCGGGGTCCCATTCGACAAGACTCAGCCTCGCGTCTTTGAACGCGAGGAGCAGCGCATCGCCGCCCGACTTGGTGCCCGCAACCTTGATACGAGCCAGACCCGTGACGGTCCCTGCTAGAGTGAACTCGGCCACCAGCACCAGTTTTGTCAAAATGCCCTTGTCAGACCGCAGAAGCGCAGAGTCGCCGCCGAGAAACGACGTCTCTAGCCCGTCTCCATCGCCATTGTTGACGCGGCTGTCGAAGGCCGCAGCTTGGGTGTAGGGGGCCTGGGCGGTCGAGCTCGCGTCGGCCTGCACGTCGAGGTCTGTGGGCACGGCCTTGGTCGTAAATACCTGCAGCAGCGACGATTTGGCGACGACGAGGTTGTTGCTGCGCGCTGAGGTCAGGGCAAGGGTGAGCGAGTGCGTGACGCCCGTGGGCGGCGTTAGCTCGGTGTAGCACTGCATTGTCGTCTTGTGCAAAGGACGACCATGTTATCGCGTGATCGTGCAAGGGCTGAAGTTAACGCAGTCGGTTAGGAGGTGGTGTGGTGCGAAGGGGCTGCAGTGAGTCGTACTGCGGAGTTTCGAGGCAGCAAAAACTAGTGTCGCGATACCATCAGGTCGAACAATGGTGCCAAACGCCAATTGCCAAATGCAGCGACAACGCGCAGACCGGGGTGGAGCTCGGTGATTGGCTGGCGGCAGGTGCGACCCAGGCACAGGTAGGAACTTCCAGACGCAACTCTTTTTGCAGGGTCGCACCTTCTCCAGGCGCTCTCAGTCAACCTCTCTGCCGCTAGTCTTGAATGTTGCTAGTTGTTCTGATAGGCCTATGGCCGGGTTGACCCACATAAGCTTCCTGTGGCGGACGCCAGAGGTCCTTTTTTGCTTCCATTGCGTCACGACCTGAAACCCTGTTTTGAAGGAAGACACGAACTGGCGAGGTTCTTGTTTCTCTTCGATTTCGATTTAGGAAGGCGAGCTTTCTGCACCCTCTCAACACGCTTCAATTCTCGTTTGCTCTTTCCTCTCTCCGTTTTTGCTGCGACAGACAATTGCTCATATACCACTTCCTCTCGACACACTCTCCCTTGCTCTTCATTCCAAACAACCCACTGCAGCACCAAAACGAGCGTGGTGCCACAACACGACCGCGCGCGCATTCCACACTCTGTCGTAGGGTGTCATGATGCAGCTTCACTGAATGGGTCCCGCGGATCTAATCGAACAAGTCAACAAACCAACTATTAACACGCAAAATCCTTTCTGTGTTCCTGACGACAACGCTCTGTTCCGAGGTCTCCATATCCGCATTCAATCATCCGACGCCAGCTCGACCGGCTACACCGGTTAACCATTTTACATTTTGCACTCTCGTCCCATACCAACTGTTCTGTCCCGCTTTCTCCCGTGCCGTATTCGCACAGACCGCAACACCTATATTTTCTTTTGCTCTCCAAGATGGCTGGCCTTCTCCAAACCAGCCTGATCTGGATCGCTTATGCAGTGGCTGTCGGCCTGGCGCTGGTGGCTGCCGTTATCACCACGTTTACATGGCAGGCGCCGCGCGACCGGTCCGCGGGTGTCAGCTCTGTCGCCGTTGTCAGCATCACGGCTCTACTGGCTACCGTCTTCTTGCTCCCCGTCGATATTGCCCTCGTTTCGTCGACAACCGCCACCTCTCTCGGCGCCAAGAAGGACTGGGCTACACCCGAGCACATTGAAGGCATTTTGAGCACGCTCAAAATCGCCTACTACACTCTGTACAGCTTCGACGCGCTGCTGTGCTTGGTGGTGATCCCGTTCACATACTTCTGGTTCGAGGAGTACGACGAGATCGACGAGGACGAGAATCGCAACAAGCCGTTTAGCGGGCGGCTGTGGAGTGCATTCAAGTACACAGCCGTATTCCTCGTGCTTGTTGTGGCGCTCTTCCTCATTGGCTTCTTCGTGCCTGCGGCTGGCCGTAAGGGCGCTGGCAAGCACTTGGACCTCGACTACTTCCGAAAGCTTCTTGCGGAGAACAATGGCGAAAAGGCGCTGACCTTTTCGGTGGGCCTCTTGGTGACGCTCGGCACATTGCTGTACGTCCTGTACACGGGCGCTGGCCTGGCTCTTCTGCCCATCTCGTTTATCAAGTCGGCTCCCTCAATCTCGGCGCCGCAGCTGAGCGAGACGACGGCATCGGCACTAGAGCAGAACCGCGAGCGGCAGCGGCAGCTCGAGATGCGCAACGCCGGTCGCAATGACGGCATGTCAGCCAAGGACCGTCGGGAGATGGAGGCGCTGATGCGCGAGGAGCGTACGCTGGTGCGGCGTGAGCGGCTGGCGGCAGAGGCCAGTGGCGAGGGTCGCAGCTGGGTGTTCCGGTGGTGGAACAAGATGCAAGCGGTGTTCCGGCCGCTGAAGCTGCTGGGCGGCATCTTCTTTTTGGCCCTGTCCGTTTTAATTGTGATCTCCATGATCATCACGGGTATTGACAAGGCGGCGAACTCGGTGTGCAAGCAGCACTGCGGCTACATCCTGGGCCACATCAACGTGTTCCAGCCGACGAACTGGATCTTTATGAAGGCGGCACGAGCATTCCCCGTGGACTATGTGCTGATGGCGCTGCTTGTGCTATACTTCTTCAGCAGCTCGATTTCAGGTCTCGCCGCGGTCGGCATCCGTTTTCTGTGGGTGCGCATCTTCCAGATCAAAAAGGGCCGCACGGCGCCGCAGGCCATCCTGGCGGCGACGGTGATGCTGGCACTGATGATCCTGGCCATCAACTACGCAGTGGCGATGCTGGTGGCACCGCAGTACAGTAATTTCGGCACGCAGACGTTTTGCATGAACCCGCCACTGCGCCCGGACGAGCAGCCGGATTGTACGGGCCACCCCGACTGGATCAAGCCCTGTTCGGAGGCGTATCAGGACCGCGCGGCCAAGGACGTGTGTACGCCGACTGTGATGTCGACGTTTTTGAACCGGATAACACTCAACTGGCCTGTGTTTGGGGCCATTGACTTTTGGGCGCAGTTTGCGTTCTTGGGCGTGTTCCTGGTTGTGTTTATGACGTCCCTGTTCCGGACCCCGCGGCTGAACCTGTCGGAAATTGACGAGGAGGCCGAGGCGGATGAAGAGGAGGGCCTGCTGGCGAGCACAGGCCGGCGGTTTGGCGCGACGTGGCAGGATATCACCGGCCGCACGGGCAATGGCGAGAACCGAGCCAACTATGGGTCCAACTCGCAATCGTAGGAGATGGGGAGGTGGTGAGTTTGAATTGCTTTGTATCCATTTGTTACTTAGTTTTGGTACAGGCAATTGGTATTTCATGGGGAGGATGGTTTACTGGCGAGGCTGGTATTTATTTTTAGTTTTGTTGTTTCCACCTGTTTTATTTACCCTTGTTTTAACAGATTGGCTTTGCATATTATATTCCTTGGGAATGGGGTAGCACGCACAGAAACACACCTAGGGAAGGGAAAGGGGCTGGCATCTACGGGCGAAATTGGGCAACGGCGAGATTTGGGGAAAAACACGCTTGGAAGTATGCAAGAAATTCAATAATTGTATCAAGTCATACGTTATAACTACGTGGGCAAAGTGTGTATGATAGCCGGATGCCGTCGTCACCTCACAAGAGGCACTCGCTTGTGACCGCGCTCATCGAAGCCAGCGGCCGGCCCGACATGCATGTCCCGCCAGCAGCCGGCACAGTAGGCATTGTTCTGGTCCTCTTCGGGCCCTTCTTGGTTGTCGGCACACCCCAGACATCGAACTGTCGCGTCCTCTAGACACACGACACACCAGGCCTTCTGGTCCGCGTCGGTGTAGTTGCGGCGGCCGTGGCCGTAGTGGCCGCGCTTCAAGACACCGCCCTCTTCCTCGCCGGGGTGGAAGGTCGGGGCGGAGGGCATGCCAAAGGCGTCAGTTTGGCCGAGGCCGGTGGCCTTGCCCTGGAGGCCCCGGAGGGCAGCGAGGCGGGCAGAGATGTCGTCGTCGTCGCCGCGGTTGGGTAAATTTTGGGTAGGCGCAGAGGGGAGCGACGGCGGGGACGGTGGCGGGTCGACAAGTTTGGTCGGGACGGTCGGGAGGCCCAGAAAGTTGCCTTTCAGCTTATCCCGTGGTAGGATATTGTCCTCCTGATAGGAGTCACGTTTGCGAGGACCAGTGACAATATCTTCGTCTTCATCTTCATCTGCTTGCTCGTTGCCGCCTTCGCCTCCTTGTCTGGCCAGGTCAGCCTCGTCTTGGTTCTGTTCCAGGACACGTCGTACTTCACGCTCCATATCTTCGCCGTCCGAGTCGTCCGAGTCAGCGTCTTTTGAGGCAGTCTTCGGGGCACCATTCTTGCTGCTTTTTGGCATATCGTCTTTGAAGGCCGTCCCTGCCAGGCTCTTCAGCAAATCCTCAACCATTTGGGAGTTGTCTGCATCATCGTCTTCTTCGCCACTGGATGCATCCCTCAGATCCTTTGGGACGCTTGGCAGTGGCATTACATCGTCATCACCACCGTCTGTTCCATCTTCACGTGCAAGACGGTCAGCCTCATCATCACTTTCGCCGAGTTCGTCCTCACCGAGGCCTTCTGCGGCGAGATCAAGCAGCAAATCGTCGACCGCCTCGTAATCGACATAGAACAGCGGGTCGTCTACTGCCTCGCCTTCTTCGGCGTCGGCTGCCCTAGGACTGTTTCCATCGGCTGCGGCACCGCCACTCTTCAAAGACTGTTTCTCTGATGAAGATGATACTTGCTTCTCCGACTTGCCACTCACTTCATTGGCATTGTCAACATCGCTGCCATTTCCATCGCGCACTTCCCGCAGCGTTTTTAGGCGTGCGGCTAGGCGGTCTTCTCTTGTGACTGATGCTTTAGATGGGAGAGTGAACAATATGTCACCAGTTGGGGCTATTGTTGTTGCTGTAGTTGCCGGGTCACCAGGACTGGGCGTGTTAGTAACCTGTATCCAGCCACATGACGAGTTGTTGTGATCCAAGATACCTCTGCTGTGGCGCGGCCAACGAGACGCTCGACGGCTTCAGCGCATTAAGCCGGTCTAGTAAGCTCCGGTCCGGCTTGGACGGCACCGACATTGTGTGGTCCAATAGCCAGTGCTTTGCCGAACTCCGTGGACCGGTGTGTAATCGTGCGTGCAGGGTGCAGAGGCGAACGAGGCTGTGCAACAATCGACAACGTGAGGGGAAATGCAGAAGATGGGAAAGGGTTACAACGGAGAATACGACGAGCGGGTCCTAGGTGCGGAGGGAGGGTACGGCCGCCGCAGAGAGGAAAGATGCGAAGAAGGGTTGTCCTTTGGAGAACGGCCCGGCCGCAGGCTTCCTGACTATGCTTTCGAGATGTACTTTCTGTGATTTGTTGCTGGTCGTTACAATGTCGTACTCTAAGCAATATCTGAGTATGACGCGACTTCCATTCTGGGGAACCTTGCGCTGTGCCTCGCACTAGTGGCACTGCCTTACAGTTAGCTTTCAGTGGGATGTCGGGATGCTGCGAACGGTCGTAGGGATACTCTTGCCGACGGATTGCTAGGTCTTGTCAGGCACATGAACTGAAAATTGCACATAAGCAGAAAGTCAAGACTTTCGAGTCATGCAATAGTGAAAATGAAACTTGAAAATGACGTCGGGTACACAGGCGTTAAGAGTAATTTAGTTATTCTCACAATAATCCTGGACTGCTCATGGCTTCTTCCATTTTGCTCTCATAGAAACGATAGATATTATTATGAGAAGTATCTTTTCTTTTGTTTTTGAAGTGTTTTGAATGGCAATGCACGTCATATATTGTAAGATACTGGCTCTCGTTTCCCGGCAAAGTTGAATTGCTCCAAACCTGGATTGACTTGGATTGTGAAGACTGTTTTCGAGTCGGCGGGTTTTTGCCAACGGAGCATCTTGACATGTTCGAGATTCAACCTCCGCCCCTTCGTCTTGGCTGTTGGAAAGGTGCCTGATACCTGATCCTCGTCTGTCGAGTTTCTCTGTTTTTCCTTGGGACAGGGCAAGCACCAACTGAATGGGGCAATATGCCGTGCGGCCTGCCTAACGGGCATTCCTTCTGGGCGGATGTGGGTGATGCTTCGTACTTGCATTACACACGCGAATCAAAGTAGGGACATGTGCTCCGTGGGTAGGACGGAGAGGCAAATGGCGAGCGGCGTTGGACCGATCACGATGTTCCTTTTCTACCTACGCCCGATCCGGGCAGTGCAGCGCGCTGTAATTACTCCCCAGTGTGGTGCTTAATACGTGAAAGCGCTGTAGCGCAGGGCATCTCGAAAGCCTTGTAATCGCGTATCCACCGGACAACGGAGTGCATCTCAAATGCCGATTTGGTGCTAATACGGATACACGGACAAGCCCATATGCGCTTTGATCTGAGAGTCTCCTTCCAAATCGCATTGTTAGGGTGTAGGCTGATTCCAAACGCGAATAGAAATGCTCCAAAATGACGCTGAATGGAGATTCTTCTTTTTTGTTCTTTCCTCGGACGATCTCAAATTATCCCGCCCAACTGCGCTTTCCTTACACTGAGTGCTGGGTTGGGTCAGTAATTGTGGCTGTGCCGAACAGTTCCAGAAGTTTTCGGCCAGCTCGACCTGCTGGCAACCCTCTTTCGATGTTCCGTCGTTGTTCCGTCGCCACTGTTTTTCGTGCCCTGCCACGCCCGGACCTTGTGTTAGCGTCCTGCAAGTCCAGTAATCGTCTGAACGAGCCCGACGAGGAGCGAGGAATGAAATAAAGGTCGCGCTAGTGCTAACAGACCCCTGAAAAGGAAGAAGCATAACTCGCCTGCTGGTCCACGCCTAAGGGTGCTAAGGCTTTCACTGTAAATTCAGCGGCGACAGCGCTCTTCAGTGTAATTGTGGCTTACTTTTAATAGTCACTAAGACTGCTGATTGGCCCACCACACCGAAATGACGGAGATGGACCACCAAAAACCCCTGCTTGTTCGAATGTTAACACGAGCGAAACGAAGGGATCGCATTCATGTCACATTCCCGATGCATTCAGCTGCGTAGGGCGTCGAAGTTGTAAATCAAGCCACGTCAATTTTCGAGACAATCTTGCTCTTTACGAGTTACGAACCGGCAGTGTACCCATTAAACACAAGGCAGATACTCCCGGGACAAGAATCTGACCGCCCCTTGTGCTTCGTTCTTTCCAGCCCAAGAGTTGAACATCGCACGTCGTATTTTGTTTGGCGCTAGTCCCCAGGTAACAAATCTTAACGGCTCAAGTGGGAAGAGCGCGCCAGAAAGGGGGGGCAATAGCTCGCTCGCCCCAAATGAATGACCGCGGACCAAAATGAAAATGTTGCCAAGACGGAAAAGATGGCAGAGAGCCAAGCCAAAGCGTTGGTAGGCTGATCCCGAGGCAGGATGACCTATTTGTCTTTTACAGGGAGGCTTGGTCGCTTACGGCGTTTTATTTCCTTTCTCTGCCTCCCTTTCGTGACTTCCTGATTTAAATTTACTGTTCGCTCTTGCCTGTGTCGGCATCCTATGTCATCGTTGTTTCCTTCCCATCTTTCTCCATTTCGTCAACCTCTTTTGTTGCCTCGTCTTCCGGATATAAAACAAACACACCCCACCCCATAGCAAAACCTCCTTGTGTCACAGTTTCTTTTTCGTCTTTCCAATCCAACTTCACAACCAATTTGGCCATACATTCCGAAACACATCCAACACAATCAACATATCGACGTCACACGTCCATATTTGATACATTGCATATTTCATCAACAGCAAACATCGTACAGCACATCAGCACAACACAGATACAATGAAGTTCAGTTTCGTTACCGCTGCAGTATCCCTGTCGGCGCCCATCGTCCACGCAGTGGCTGTGCCCGCGGTGCCTGCCCTCGACAACACATCGCCTGCACTCGCCGTGCGCTTCCATTCTTCATCTTCATCGTCTAGCGATGCAAAGCGCGACATTGGCGACGCGTTCGACGAGAAGCTGTTCCGGCGCAAGGGCGGTGGCGGCGGCGGCGGCCGAGGTGGTGGCGGCGGCTCGTCTGGTGGTGGATCTTCGTCGGGCGGTGGTTCGTCGTCGGGCGGTGGTTCTTCGTCCGGCGGTGGTTCTTCGTCGGGTGGTGGCTCGTCGTCTGGCGGTGGCTCGTCGTCTGGCGGTGGCTCATCTGGTGGCAGGTAAGCTTTTATACGAGGTTCCCCGCTTTATGTCCATCTACTAAACATTACCTTTATTTTCTCCAACCACAGAGGTGGTTCATCTGGTGGCTCCGGCAGCTCCGGCGGCACCGGCAAGGGTGCCGGCTCTACGTCGTCTAACACCGGCGGCCGCACTACAACCGGCAGTGGTGTCGCCCCGGCCTATGGCGGTGGCCAGTACTACGGCGGTGGCGCCTCTGTGCCCTACCGCTCCGGCCAGCGCTCGCCCTCGGGTGTCGCTCCTTTCGCAGTTGGCGCGTTTGCTGGTGTTGGCCTGGCCGGCCTTGCCTTCTGGCCCGGTCTTTGGTACCACCCCATTTACTACTACCCCTACAGCCACCCGTACACATACCACAATGAGACGTCCGGCAAGAACGAGACCCGCAACATTGGCTGCGGCTGCGATCAGACGGTCGAGTGCGCCTGCGACGATAACACCAACGCCACCTATATGAACGACCTCATTGGCAACGGCTCGACGGCCGCTCTCGCCGCAAACCAGGTGAGCGTCGCTGATGTGAATGGCACCAGCACCATACTCATCAACGGCACCCTGGAAAACGGTACCACGGCCGCCGGCGGCACCGACAGCCCGAACGCAGGCAGCGGCATGCAGACTCTGCTGCAGCACGCAGGCTACTGGCCAGTCGTTGTCACAGTTGTCGCCATTGTGTTTGCCCTGTAGGAGGGGCTTTGAGGAGTGGATGATGGTGATCGGTGATGACAAAACGATTTAGATCTGATTTTTGGTCCGGCGTCTTGGAATACCCCGTTTCGGGGAGGTTTTACCCCTTTTACCCCTTTTTCTCTTGTACATTTTCGTGTACATTTTCGTGTACATTTTTAATGCTCATTGGCCCCAGATGGACCTTTCACGAGGACCATTTGATGGGTGCACGCGTGCTGGGCTTGGGTAGCTTTTTGTTTCTATATCTTTCATGATTCCCACGTTTACTGTAGCAATAACACAAAGTCATGACTATTCATTAATCATTAGTGACAGTATGACACGACCTCGCTCGACAAACAGACTGACTCAACCGGTCTTTTCTTTCATCTCCTTCCGCCTCTGTTCTACCCATGAGCCCAACTGCCGCCATATGGCCTCCTTCTCGGCCGGTAGTAGAGATGCCGCGAGCCCGCTCGTGCTTGAGGCAACAAACACACGCGCGCCTTTCCATTCGACGCGAACGTTGGGCTCATCGACGTATTTTTCACTCTCCTCGTCGTCGAGAATCTCCTCTTTGGCGGTTCGCTCTTGCAGGCCTTCCACATCGCCATCGCCGCCAGACACTCCCATGTTTTCACTCTCATCCTGCCATCCGTACTTGAACGCCGGCTTCGGTCGTCCCTGCCGCGCTCGCACACGTACCACACTGTCCCAGATCCCCTTGCCCACAAAACACATCACCTCTGGCCGCCACCGCCGCGCCTTTGCTTCCAGAATCGCCACTCCGGCGTCTAGCTCGGCCGGTTTCAGCTCAGCCCCGTTCCGCGACGGCCGCGCCACGATGTTCGTCAGCCCCAGCCGGAACCGCGCCGGCAGCGTCCGGTCCTCCTGCGCCGTGCACCATTCCGGCAGGACCCCGCTGCTGTACATGAGCTTCCAGAAGAGATTGGAGGGGTGTGCATATGCATGGCCGGACCGCGCGGTCTCGATGCCCGGGTTGAGGCCGACGAAGAGCACCAACAAATTGGGCGCGATGGCGTCCGGCAGTAACGGGAGGTGCGCATAGGTGGTGGGAGGGGCGTATTTGCTGGGTTTCGCCGGCCGGGACCGGCGCGACTGTTTTGTCGGCGACGGACTGGGTGAGGATGCTGTGGAACGGGCTGAGGCCCCGGAAAATCTGGGGATAGCAGCGAAGGTTGTTCCGTCTGCCTCGCCGTCATCCTCCAGCTTGCGCTTCATTGCGGTTTGCAATGGAGACTTGGCGGGCGAGCCCGGGGTCGAGCGGACCGCTGGCGCTGTGATGCTTCGGCTGCGCAGACTCCGTGCCGACGAGGGACTCGCGGCATCGTCTTCGTTCGCCGTATATGCAAAGTTGGCGAGACGGCCGCCAAACGACGGCAGCGGCGTTGCGTCTTCGGCCATTGTCAATGAGTCAATAATGCAAATAAAGACATGGAAGACATATAAAAATGACTGAAAAACACCGAGTACCGAATAGTCAGGCTCATTTATATATGAATGTCATAGGCGACTCCCTTCGATTCGATGAACTATCACGAGATGCAGCGGCCGAAGTACTACTAAGCAGTCTGGCTGCATAACAGGACTTTTGGAAGGGAGCAAATGGGTTAGGTGTTCTGAATTTTACGTGCTGGCCAGCTTTGGTTTAGCGCGACCAAGCATAACGGCCCTTACCCCTGAGGCCAGGTAATTACAGACTATCGCAAAGAATAGGAAAACTCTTTTTTTCATTGTTGTGAAGATGGAATGGCACGGCCGCATTCGTATTCTACATTTTGATAGCCCTACCACAAACCATATAGCTGGGCTGATGTCCTTTCTTGTACCATATGATCAGACCCGGAGACTTTGTCGGACACCAAGCAATGAACGGCTAAGAAATTGGAGCCCACAGAGTATGTCACTTGGGGAATGTTCTGAAAACCAGCAGCATCTACGACAAAATATATCGGACCCGCCAATCTGGTAACCGGTGCGTGCTAGACTCCCTCCGTACTCGCATACTCTTCTTGAAAAGCAATATGGACGGCTTCTTACGAGTTCACTTTGATCTGGCATAATGAACAGTGACCAAGATCCCGTTGATGTCCACTCCAGAACTCAGCTGACGCAAGGCTGAGCTATTTGCGCACGTCATGTCCAATTGTTGTTTGGCTAAGACGTGTGTGAGATCCAGGAACTCTAGGCGTTTTGCTCATTTGATAGAATTCAAGGAAAGCCTGCTCTTTTGCCGAGTTGCCATGTCCGTATGTCGTGGCATTTGCGCTGTTGTGCTTCGTTCCCTGTTTTATTTTCTCTCATTCTCTCTTTCAGGGTCTTTACTTTGCCTCTGAACTCGTATATCGGACAGAGACTCCATTCTACTCCCAGTCTAGACCTCGTCTTGTACATCGGTGGGGCTATGCTTCGTTTGTTCACGAGAGCGACTGTTTTCGCTGCTGTCCTAACCAAGTCGCAACTGTCTTTGCCCACAGCTACAAAGTGCGGCCTGAAAGTGAGCCAAAAGACGGCAAAATTGGCCACGGCGTTGTCAGCCGCACCTGCGTTGCCGGGGCTTGAATGGGCGTTATTACTGTGGCCCACTAGTCAAGCCACCCTAGCAAGGAACAAGACCCTGGCGAATGGGAAGTGGCGCGGCTGCCACAAGGCCCATTTGCATTTCCAGTCAGACATCCATCACACCTTCCTTGAGCTGTTGCCCCGCCGCCCGTTCCTGCCCTATTCTGTCCTCTTTCTGCTCCTCTCTGACCCGTATTCGCCCAGAGCTTGCCTGTGCCTTGTTTCAACCCACACTGACGTGTGGTTGCCCCTCCACTGAGTACGTCTTTCTGAGTACTATCGTCTCCTTCTCCTCTTCTTCCTCCAAATGCAGCCCAGCTCAATTGCAAAAGAGTGGTTTGTACTACGCCTAGCGTCTATATTTGGCATCACTCTGTTCCTTCTGCGGTTTGTTTTTCGGATGATGATGTGAGACCTTGTAATACAGAGTAGGATGCCTGGCCTGGCTCCTTCCGTGGCGTTCTACTGCGCGTTCTTGCCTCATCTGTGTCCCGTAATTACTTTATTTCGTACTTTGTACACCGCACCTTCTATTTAGTTTACTTTATTCCCCCCTTTTCTTCATCTAACACTATTCTCTCTCCGGCTTCTTGGTTTTCAGTTTTTCATTTTGTCCAAACCACATTCACGTCCTCTTCTCTGCTCCCCGTGTTACGAAACTTCTGCACCAAAGGTACTCTACTCCGTAACCACTCAATTGGGCACCGGTTGTAGCTAACCATCTTGTCAATCCAGTTTCTCACATCCTCTCGACTAAGTCTCCCACCTTCGTCTACTACCTTTCCTCTCTTCCCGCACATCCACAATGGCGTCCGTCGATGTAGCCGAGCTCCGGCAAAAGTACACGGCCGCCGGCCAGGGCCAGGTGTTTACCTTTTACGACAGCCTGTCCGCCGCCGAGCAAGCCGACCTCGTGAAGCAGCTCGCCCTCTTCGACCCCACCCGCATCAACGAGCTCGCCAAGGAGGCTCTACACCCCACGCCCCCGGCCGACAGCGGCCCCGCCGTCCTTGAACCCCTCCCCGAATCCGCCACCGCCAGTATCCTCGACTCTGATGCGAGTGCCATTGCCGATTGGTACAAGGCAGGCCTGGAGCTGATCAGCCAGAATAAGGTCGGTGTGGTGCTCATGGCCGGCGGCCAGGGCACGCGCCTGGGCAGCTCGGCGCCCAAGGGCTGCTACGACATTGGCCTGCCGTCATCCAAGTCGCTGTTCCAGATTCAGGCTGAGCGCATCCTCAAGATCCAGCAGCTGGCGGGCGCCAACGCCGTGGTCCCTTGGTACATTATGACGAGCGGACCGACGCGGGGCCCGACCGAGGCCTTCTTCGTCGAGAACAAGTACTTTGGTCTCGACAAGGCCAACGTCCTCTTCTTCGAACAGGGCGTGCTGCCCTGCATCTCCAACGAGGGCAAGATTTTGCTCGAGGCCAAGGGCAAGGTCGCCGTGGCGCCCGACGGCAACGGCGGCCTGTACCAGGCCCTGGTCGGCGCGGGCATTCTGGCCGACCTCAAGGCGCGCGGCATCGAGCATGTGCACGCCTACTGCGTGGACAACTGCCTGGTGCGCGTGGCCGACCCGGTCTTTTTGGGTTTCGCGGCCAGCAAGGACGTCGACATTGCGACCAAGGTTGTGCGCAAGCGCAACGCCACCGAGTCGGTCGGTCTGATTCTGCAGAAGAACGGCCGCCCGGACGTGGTTGAGTACAGCGAGATTGACTCTGCGACGGCCGAGGCGCAGGATCCGCACCAGCCTGGTGTACTCAAGTTCCGCGCCGCCAACATTGTCAACCACTACTACAGCCTGCGCTTCCTCGAGACGATCCCGCAGTGGGCGCGCGACCTGCCGCACCACGTGGCGCGCAAGAAGATTCCCCACGCCGATTTGACGTCGGGCGAGACGGTCAAGCCGTCGACGCCCAACGGCATCAAGCTGGAGCAGTTTGTCTTTGACGTGTTCCCACGCGTGCCGCTGGCCAAGTTTGCGTGCCTCGAAGTGCGCCGCGAGGACGACTTCTCGCCTCTCAAAAACGCCCGCGGCACTGCCAACGACAACCCGGACACCAGCAAGCGTGACATTCTGCTTCAGGGCCGGCGGTGGCTGGAGGCGGCCGGCGCGCTCGTGACCGTCAGCGACGACGCGCGGAGTGATGTGGTGCCGGCTGAGACGGGTATCGAGGTGCCGCCGCTGGTCAGCTACGGCGGTGAGGGCCTGGAAGCCTTCAAGGGCAAGTCCATTGTGGCGCCGGCTCTTCTGGAAGGTTAATTTTGATGTAAAGACGTGGCAACGTAAAAACAAAAATTAATGGAATATGGAGGGACGAAAGGATGGCTACACAGTGCAGCGCGATTCACGCAAATTTATGTTATGAAGCGTCTTAGTTTTGGATTGCGTTAATATAAGGAGCAAGATAAAAAACATATAGCAACAAAAGAGCAAAAAGGGACCCCGGCCCTTGTATTTTGTAATGGAACGCGGAACACAATGGAACGCAGAGATGCAGGTCATGTCACTCAAACAACCGAAATCCAACGCCGTAGGAAGATTAGGAAGATATGCAAAGTCAAGGTCTATGACGACGCTTATCGTTCTGCCCTCCCCGGCGGCCGCTCCCTCTGCCGATCCCTACTTCGAGCTGTTGAGATAGCTCAGGTACGAGTTCCAGCCAATCGACACCAGGTTCACAAAGAGCACACGGTGCTCCAACGGCACCAGCGAGAAGTTGACCATCTGCGCCGCCGGCCACAGCATGTAGTTGGCCGTCAGCGCGTTCTTGTAGTTCTTTTCGAGCTTCTCCTGCGGCGAGCCGCCCTCGAGGACGGCCATGCTGCTCAAAAAGACACCGATAAACACGGGCGCAAAGACGCCCTGGTCCGCCGCCACCCGCGCCAGCATCGTCTTGCGCGGCGTGCTCAGCACCACATGCCGCTGCAGGATGCCGTACCAGGTGGCTGCGGCAGGGCCAAAGACGGTACCGCCGTACAGGGCCATGCGGCCGGTACGCATGGAGTCGTGGCCCGTGGGTCCGCGGCGCTCGACGAGCTGCTGGGCGGTGACATCACCGACGGCAAAGAGGACGGCCGTGGTGACGCTCTGGGTGAGCAGGGGCCGGGCGGCGAGGCGGGCTTTGTACCTGGGCGTGGGTCAGTAGAGGGAGGGCGTGCAGTTGAGTGGCTGATAGGAAGGGAACGTGACATACCAGGCCAACATCGCGACTGCGAGCTGCGAGGACTTTGAAAGAGCGGATGTCGGCTTGCAAAGAGCCTGAGGCAAAGCGGATGTTGTTATTCAGAGGCCAATGAGCTGGGGATTGGAGGAAGCAAAACGCTGAGTGAGGTCAGGTCAAGTGAGAGTGTCGGCGAGAATTGTTGTTTACAAAGACTAGCGGAGTGTGAAGAGAATGTGACAAACAGGAGAAAGACTAGAGAGATTGGGTAGTTTTTGAGGTCGGAGTTGCTCTCTGTTGTTCTCAATTCTTTTTCTCAACTTTTTTTCATTCCTCATTGCCCATGTTGGTCTGGGCCAATGCCTGGGCCTGGGAATATGCTTGTCTTGCTTCGTGCTGATTGTCCCTTCCTTTAGTTGTGGGGTCGGTGGCAGGCGCGGCGGCGGTGCGGAGTCGGTGGTGTGCAGCGCTGGGAAGGCGCCTCTGGTGCGTGCTGGATTTTGCTTGACAAGGTCGCACAGCTTAGATGGCCTCGATGAATCCAGTCGGTTCGTTGAAACGATACTCTTTCCCTAAATATTCTAAATATTGTCTTTGATGGCTACTGGTTCCTTCCATTTTGGGCAATTGACCAGCGCGACGCAGTGGAGAAACAGGGGCGAAGTAAGCTCGATGCAAAGGGAAAGCCACGGCCAGTCCCTCACAACGAGTCTAGGGCTCTTTCCGCCGTCCTCAATTAACGACGCCAGCCATCTATATTCAAAGTTCATCCGTCATTTCAAATGAGCATTATGTTAAGGGACGTTCTTCTATCGCCGCTCGTTTCTCTGGGGGTTCTGTGTCTCCTGGAACTCGCATTTGTACGACACTGTCCGTGTGAACGAGTTGGTATGTGATAGATGTACGCTATGAAGAAAGCGGTGAGGCTGCACTGCTTCTAGGGAGAGTTTGAATTAAAGTGGTCGCTGCCGTCTTTTTTTTTTTTTTAAGGAAAAACACGCGTGGGGGTTGCATCAGCTGGACAGAAAACGACACTATGGGGAGGATAAAACTTGACCGCGCTGACTTCACAATGAGTTACGAGAGTAAATTTGGGATATCCGTGAATGGCAATACCAAGAGAACAATTCTAGAAGGAAAGACAAATACGTTCGTACCAGGACTGAAAGGCGGGTAAAACTTAACGGGCACTTTTACGTACATTTCCTGATTCGGAAACTCCGATTCTATTGACAGATAGCGCAAACGAACGACATCACGGATGTTGAGTACACAGAGCCAAAAGAAAACGAAAAAAAAGAAAGAAGAGAAAGAGACGAATACGTGGTTTATTCGGCCTACTTCTTCGTTGCATTTTCTTTCAACTCTCATTTGCGATTATGTTTATGCCTTGACGCATAGTATCTATCGACGTCGCGCCCGCCGTTTTGTTTTGTCCTTTCGAGAAATGCTTTGTTTCCTCAACTAAGGCTAGACAAACACGACCAAACGACAAAGCAAAATCGGCAGTGCCCTGGACACCCCTGGCTTAAGACTCAAAGAAATCGCCTTTAGTCAACAATGGCCTTTCTCTCGCGCTCGCTGTTGGGACTTCTGAAGCCTTGCCATACCCGGCGATGGCAAGTCCATGGCGTTAGTAAAACGAGGCAGAGTGTCAATATAAAAGAAGGACGAAGATGTAAAGTTAAAGAAAAAGACAACACGATTTTATTTTCGCATTAGTACAAACTGGTTTTTTCAGCAAACGGACCGTCCTTGAGCATCGACATTTATAGCATCATTCGCCATGTATCGACAGACAACAATGCCACGACTACTACGCCAGGAGCCAACTGCGGCGCCCACAACTGTCAGACGAAGCTCGAGAATCAAGAGGAAATGGGACGAAGGGATCGAAAACGAGGAGCAACACCGTGTTGCTTGTAGTACGACACTGGCAACGAACAAGAGGCAGAAAACAGGAAAACGAGGCACGCCAGCGGGACGGAAAAGAAATGGGAAGACAAAGGGAAAGCGGATTTCGCAAAAGCCGAGGGCGTCTACAGTTGTTGAAGCTTCCGACAATGAACCGGAAGGCAGCTACGGACTCCCAGCGTCTCCTATCCATCCCGACGTCGACGACGGTCCTTCTCCGTCAACGCAGCAACAGGTACCGCCAATGACTGATGCCCATGTCCGCAGTCTGCTCCCGGGCAGCATGTTTGGCTTGGCAGACGACCTGTTCCAGCGCGGTTTATGGAGCATCGCCCGCGAACAGACCCTGCGCAACAAGGAATTTGTCGCATCGCCCGAATTTGAGCGCTTCCAGCTCGAGCAGATGCGCATGTTCCAGGCGGACGTGCCGCCCAACACCCTGGCGCCTTTTGACGCTGAGCTGCGCTTGTGGGAGGTGCTGCAGCACCGTTTTCGTTGTGGCCTGGACGACCTGTTTCGGTACGGGCTGCGGCCGCACCTCCCAAGCCAACGAGGGGGCGGTGGGGGCGATGCCGGGTTTGTAGACTATTGCGCCAAGTTGACGGCCATCTTGGTCCACCCGCTGTGGACGCCCGACATTGCACACGTCCGCTGGCTGCTGCAGCGGATTGTACAGAAACGCGTGCCGGGACATGCGCGGCCACTGGTGCCGCCGTACTCGTACGACAAACGGCCGTTTGCAGACACGGCGCGGCAGTGGGGATTTGACGCGAGCATGCGGATGGCATTGGCCGGCGAGCCAGAGACCGAAACGGCGGCAAGCGACGACAACAGCTTCCTTCGTCGGCTTGCCACTGCGTCCCGTGAGGCAGCACACGCCGCCGCAGAGGCCGAGGCGGAGCTGGCATGGTTCTTTTTCTCTGCCAGCGCGCCGCGCGATCTGTGGTTCCTTGACCGGCATCTGTGTCCCCAGAACGAGCCAGGCAGTGGTGACAGCGGAGGTGGTGGTGACAGTAAGGACGTTGACGACGAAGAGGAAGATACGGAGACGGAAGAAAACCCCTTTGGACTTACAGTCTGCGACAGCATCCTGCAGGGCCACTTTGGCCAACTCGCGGACGTTTACGAAGACGAGGCCACGGTGCGCCAGGATGGCCGGCGGCGGGAAGACAATCTAGTACACCGGACAGGTGGGCGGCATACTCGACGCTCTCCAGGTGGTGGCAACGACGCTGGCGCCGATGACCTCCGCGACGACCAAGTATTCTTCGATCTGCGCCTCCAAGACCTCGACCGACTGCTGCGGCTGCTGACTACAGCTGAGTTTCTCCGTCGCACCGGCTTTGTCACGCCCGAATGCTACTATGGCGGCTATGTCAAAGCGCACCACATTCATGGCTATGGAGAAGATGGGCAAGACAAGGAGAAGGTGCCGCGCTTGACCTGCCTACAGTGTACACAAAAATACCACCAGGGTGGGGAGGCGGTGCAGCTGACGAGAGCGACGAAGAGCTCCAACACCACCACAATCATGATCTTGATCACGATCACGACCACGAAAACGACGCCCCCGGCCACGACGATCATGGCCACCACCTCCACCAGCAGTTTGCCCGCGACGTCGAGCCACATCGCGCCCTGGAGTGGCTGCTCCAGAAAAAGTGCGAGTGGCTTCTGGCCGGTTGCCGTGAGCGCCTGATCCGGGCGTCTCTTGCCGAGACAGAGGCCGTCGACAGTGCTGCGACGGGAGGAAACCGTGCCCTTCTCCCCGACATTCCGCCATTTGATCCGCCGCCGTTGGCCCTGCTGGACCGCGTGTTTACGCACTCGTCGCAGCTGGCTGTTCTGGAGCGGGCGCAAGACGTGCCACACGCTTCTGAACTCTGGTGTTTACGACAGAATGAGACAGAAGCGGAGGGAGTTTACTAAGATGGAAGTAGACGTATTGGTATGATAGGGTGCCACTCGAAGAGAAGCAGTGAACAGATAGATTGTGGACATCTGAGACGGAACGATGGCCACGGGAAAGATTGAAATAAACTGGTTCTAAGGTAACAGCCATATTGAATTATTGAATATCTTGAGGCAGAGGAGTATAGCAATGAAAGCTCAGTGAAAAGATTTGTAGTTTGAGCTGAAATATGACAAGCAGAGTCGCGTTATATATTTACACGGCTGGATCGTCATGAAAGTGAAGACACAATGTGCGAAGCTTTGGACTCTGCACGTTTCGCTATTCTTCTTTGAGTGCATCTGCGACTCTGGCATCACAGCCATTGCATGTCTGATATCCGCTTGCTTCTCATGTACTTTTCATCTGCCCGTCGATGTCGCCGTCATTTGCCACTCATCTTTCCAAATATCATGATGCCTTTACTTCTGCCTCGCTTTCCACCCCAACCTACATGCACGACGCAATCAGCCTCCGTTGGCAAGCACTGACCTCACATTCAGACCAGCTCCTCATCTACCCAACCATGACCAACTGCTATTGTTTGTCATGGCCCCCGACTCATCTTCCGTTTGCTATTCAACCGGACGCTGTTCTCCCCGAATCTGTACTCTCAGCCCCCGGTATAAATATCTTGGTAACCCGACCTCTTCTGTCCCTCCCTCCTCATCCTCCTTCTTCTTTCCTTCAGCTTGACTCAACCTTGGTGCTTTGTAAATCAAAGCACCCGGACCCTACCCCGTCAACGCCCTTGAGAATTCCAATCAGTGTCTTGCCTCTCATCTCCCTCCATCTCTCACACTCACACTCGCTCTCTCACCCTATTGCCCTGCTTTCCGCGTCTCTCCTCCCTCATCCTCACTCCAACCTCCCCTTTTCGCTCTGTCTTGCCCCCTCTCCTCAGCTCTATCTCCCTCTTTCTCTCTCCCAGCCGCAATAAAGGCGTTATGCCTTTGATCGAGCGCCTCCGAGTCCTTGGGCTCTATGAGTCCAGCGACGAGGAGCGCAACAGATCAAAGATCCGCCAGTTCAAGGTACGTTTCTTCTGCCAGAGCGTTGCTACCCTCCTTCCCAAAGGGGGTGACTGTCACGAAAACGTCGCCCCACCCGCTCCTTCCCTTCTTGGTATTACATTGAGAAGCACAAAACTAACATGGAAACTACGCATACAGAGAGAAGTAAAGGCAGAGGAGAAGGCAGCGGCTAAGAAGGCACGCAAAGAAAGAGCCGCCAGCTCGGTTGACTCTGCAGAAACCACCGACGAGGGTGACGAGGACGACGACGAGGACGACGTGGACGACTCTGTCGTCCCATGCAGACTCTACGAGATCAGAAAAAGTAATCTCGAGGCAAAGACTGAGGCCCAGGCTCTAGCCGGGAAGGAGTGCACTGAACGAGACGATGCCTCCACTTCCTCCTCCTCGCCAAACAATAACGACGACGACGACAACAACGACGACGACAACAACCGCAGCACGAACGGCGCCACAACACCCGAACCTGCCACACCCAATACCTCATTCCCCAACTCCGACTACGTCTTGTCGGATCGCCGCGACGACTACGCTGCCTCATCCTGCGGTTCCGACATGTCGGAGCTCGAAATCCGCGCCGACGAGCGCGTCCGCACCACCGTGAGCAACGCACACGGTTTCCTCTCTGTCCTTGGCCGCGCCGACTGTCTCCAGCAGCGCTCCGCTGGCAAGCTCCCTGGAGGCGCCCTGACGGCCAAAGTGCGTCTTCGCAATGGCCGTCGCCCACACTACCAGCGTCCCCGTGTCCCGCCGCAGCCCTGCGTTGTTGAGCTCGAGTACCCGACTGGCGACGACGACGCTGCCGACAAGTTCCGCGTCTGGGGTTTCAAAGACGGCTTGCGCGTGTACCGACTGGAGTCTCCGTATGTCTTATATCCTGCCCTACCTTTACTTATCCCATTTTGATCCTCTGCTAACGCACCAACACAGGCTGCTTCCCATGTTGCGCAAGTCCGTGGTCAAGACGGCTGTCGGGCTGTGCTACATTGACATTCCGTCCATGTGCCCGCCAACGATCGTGACTGTTCCGGCCAACGACGCTGCTGCTGTTGCCACTGCCGCCGATGACGCTTCCTTCGCTACTGCTTCTACGCCTACCTCCAACACGGCCTCTGAGACGCTGCCCAGGCCTACGTCGGCCGACACGCCCGGCACGCCCGACACGCCCCAGAACCCTGTCCCGCCGCCCATCCTCCAGGTCAACGGCATGTTTGAAGTGCGCCCCTCGGCTCTTGGTGGCCTTGGCTGCTTTGCCATGCGCGACATTTTCCGTGGCGAGCACCTGCTGGTCGAGCGGCCCCTCGTGCGCACCAACATGATGCACTTGATCCAAGAGCTCGCGCGCCTGTCCACAGCCGACCGCGCCCAGTTCGACGCCCTCACCGGCCACCACCCGGACCCCCGTGCCTCCCGCGACGAGCAGATCTGGACTGCCAACACATTTGTCGCCGGCGAGCTCGACAGCCTGTTCATTGTCGCCTCACGCTTCAACCACGCCTGCAGCGCTTCGCCCTCCCAGAACGTCGGCTACCGCTACGACCGCCACCAAGACGTGCTGACCCTCACAGCCGTTGGCCGCATTGCCAAGGGCACCGAGCTGCTCATTTCGTACGGCAAGTCGCGGCGCATGCTGTTTGAGCGCTTTGGCTTCTGGTGCCGGTGCAGCGGCTGCGGCGGCGACCAGGCGACCGAGATGGATGGCGGCAATATGTCGGACCTGCTGACCCAGGACATGTACAACCGGATTGTCTGGTGAGCTGTCCAGTGTCGAGAGCCGAGTGACGTGTTGGCGTCAACCCGGCAACTTTGAGAGACGTGCCGAGGATCCTGCAAGAACGAGAACATTTGGAAAAACAGTGGAGTCTGAGGAGTTGCGTGGTCTTTGCTTGTGTTCTTTCTTTGTTCTGTTTGATTCTTTCTGTGGACTGGGCTCTACCTGCTTCGTTCCAGGTTTTGTTCTGTCGTCTCGAGCGTCTGGACCGAGTTGGAGCGAGTTCCTCCGACTTTTGTCTTGCCTTTTATCATATACAGTAGCTCACAATATCCTGCCAGCCATTTAGATAGGCAGAGAATACAGAGTAAATACAAAGGAAGTACGGAGAGAAAGCCACAGTCTGATTGACTGCACATATGTCGCATATCTGTGCAAATTGTAGACCGACTCACACCTTACGTTAACATCCGAGGTTATATCGCACATACTACATACTACATACTACATGCATTCGAGAGTATCCGCGGAATATGCCAGACGTCTGCTTTTCGTGGGTTCCGCCGTTTTTCGCCGCTTACCACGTTGGCGGACTGCCAGCTGTCATTGATCGCATTTTGGCGCTACCCACAAAACGTCCAGTGGTGACGAGCACCGTTTCAGGCACTTCTGCTCGCGGACCGGGTAAGCTAGCGGCGTCCCCTGAAGCCTACCCCACAAGGTACTCAAGCTTCTGCCTGAATGCATGACGTCAACTACCAAACAGCTGTTTCCTGCTTCGTCTTGGTTCCTGGTTGTTCTTTCCCCGCCGATGGAGACAACCACGACTTCCCATTGAGACATATAATTGGGCACATAGCTCAAGCTCTGTACATCTTTCATTTTGCACACATCGTCCATTCAACTCTACTTTTTCACTGCATCACGCAACTCCTTCAACTTCTCAACCATCTCGAACAACCTCTTGCAACAACACGCCATAGTTAGCACAACATGTCTATCTCCTTCAACGCCCCCGCGGTTACCTCGGACGCCGTCCGCGGCGCCCAGGCGGCCTCCATCTTCCTCAGTGCCGCCGCCGCCGGTGGCTCCCTGGGCCTTTCGACGTTCCTCGTCCCTCGCCTGCTTGAGTCGCCCACCGCCCTCATGCTGCGCCAGTGGGGCCGCACTTTCCAAGCTGGCAAGATCGTCTTCCCCGGTGCCGCCGCCACGGCTGCTGCCGCGTTTGGTTTTGTCTACTACAGGACGGCCAACGCCGCGACGCCCTCGTCCATCGAAGTCTCCGCCAGCGCCCTGCCGCTCGTCGCCGCCGGCCTGTGCCTCTCCATTGTCCCCTACACGCTGTTGATCCTGCGCCCCACCAACAAGGAGCTCATCGCCAAGGCCGCGCAGGCCGAGGAGGACGCACAGCTGTCCAAGGCCGACCGGGCGGCCGGTGCCGGCACTGTCTACACGGCACAAGAGGAGGCGTCGGCGAAGCAGCTGGTGGACCGGTGGGGCACGCTGAGCCTGGGCCGGTCGTTGCTGCTGGCGGCGGCAGCCATTGTTGGTCTGGTTGCGTACCTGTAAAGGACGGCGACCACAAAACAGCTGGTGATTGGACTATGCGTTGGGTTGCAGCGAATTGGAGCATACTTTAATGCTGAGACATATGGTATTTGACGTTTTATCATTGGCATTCATTGCCGGACACTCTTCTCTCGGGTCCAAGGACGGACTTGTAATGGATCATACTCTAAGTATCCCCACAAAAAGAAAACAAAAATCAATAAACTTGTATGAAAACACAGAAATGTATGCAATCTCAGTAACATGTCCCGCTTCCTCTCGTTTCGCTGTGTTCTTGAACACTCTACACCCGGTAGGTAATGGACTTGGTTTGCACCCACTTGGACAAGTTTGTGTCGAACCGCCCGACGCCGCTCGATTTCATGCCGCCTTGTGGCAGGATCGTCTTGTCGTGCACGTACTCGGTGTAGTTGGCCAGTGCAATCACTTCCTCTTCTGTGTCGACCTCGAACAGGCCCACCCTCGGCGCGAAGCTTTTCGTATGGGCCCGATGTGAGGGCGACAGGACGGAATGCGGAGTGCGAATCAAAATTTGAATGTGAAGTGGTGACGTGCGGAGAGTGTTGACTGTGTAAGACGAGTGGGCATTAAACAACGAGGTAACATAGCCGTTGGCTGTTAATCCTTGTTGATGTGACATAGAAAGTTCGATCAAAAGTTCATCTTTTGGAGCTTCCCATCCACGATATGGCTTCAGTCAAAGAGCATGGAAATAGAGCTACCAGAGAAGGCCAAGAAGAGATGCAATACAACATGAATATTTATATTTCGTTCTCAACTTTCGTTTGTTTTTCTTTCCCCCCCGAGAAAAGGTAGAAGATAAACGCCTGTTTTATCCTAAACGCTCGATAGATAGCTATGTTTGGTTGTTTTCCTACTCCAGCGCAAAACGTGAGGATGGTGTGACTGTGTACATCTTGTGGCGGAATCGACTGCCGTTCTAGGGTATGCAAAAATCGATCCAGCTCCCCAAGTAGTCGAGCCTGTTTGGTGTTTGCTCTTCCTGCTTAAAAATGAGCTCAAACTCCTCGTAGCTCAGCTTTCCCCAGCCGCCCCGCACCTGTGCCTCCTGCTCGGCGAGATCCAGCCGCTTCCATTGCTTGAGAGTCGCCAGGGGAATGTCAGCCTCCTCTGGAGCGGGAGCGGTGTTGCTGTTGGCCTTGTCACTGCCGTCTGCGCTCTTGGTATTAATCGCGACACTCGAATGCGATCCGTTGTGTTGGTCCTTGTTGTCCTTACCCGGACGGCCTGATTCTAGGGTTGGGGTAGCCTCGGCCTTGCCCTTGCCTTTATCCTTTTCATCCTTTTCAATCCCTTCCGGCTCCGTGCCCGTGTCCCGGCCGGCATATGCAGACGGTTCGTCAACGGGTGGTGTCGTCGTGCCAGGTGAGCTGCGTCCCTCAGAGCTCGTGGCCACTGTTGCAGCGGTGGATGCGGCGACAAGAGAAGCTGCCTGTGACGGGGCCCGGGCCGACTCGTGCTGTGCCACCAATGTCTCATACTCAGCCTCGGTGTTGGGCCGGAAATGCGGTAGGGTCGGGTCGCGGTGGTCTTTATCAACCTCGGCGACTGCGGTGAGCGAGATTTCGGGCACGTCATCCAGAGTCGCGAGTATATCGCCGGCTGGGCGGCCAGGAGTGTCCTTTCCTGCGGTATCCACGACCTCAACTTGTTCTTCAAAGGCTGGCTCGGGAGCCGCTTCAGTAACCGCATCTTCCTTTGGCTCCCCAATATCGTCATCAACATCCTCGACAATTTCCTCGAGTACCTCTTCCACGGCACCAATCTCGGCATCGTTTGCTTCGGGCACCGTCGCCGTCGTCGCTGCTGTCGTCATGTCGGTATTGGAGTTGGCGTTGGCGCTACCATTCACTACCGAGCGCGGCGGGTCCAGATCTTCCGTCGGCACACCGCCAATCACCTCGTACCCTGTCTCGGCCAGCATCTCCTCCAGCGTCATGTCGCTGACGGCCTTATCAGCAGCAGACACCGACCTGGCCGCCTTCTTACGCGGTGGAGAGGGTATTTTGTTGCTAACTCCGATCCCGGGCTCCACGGAAAGGTGTTCAAATAGGTGGCGATACTTGTCGCGGTCTTGCTTTGACTCAGCGGCCTCGATTGCCAGATTCTCTTTTCGCAAGAACAAAATATCCAGCAGCTCGTTGAACGCCTGTTGCATCACCTGGTACAGCACCTCGCGGCCCGCGTCGCGCTCCGCTTCGGGGATGTCGGCCAGGCGGCTGCGTGAGTGCTCCGCCTTGTCGGAGTCGGCAGGCGTCGCCTTTGCTTTTGATTTTGAGGACGACGCTTCACCCTCGGCGAGCAGATCTTCGTCATCTTTCCAAGCGCTCGGTGCCACGGCGCCCTCTTCCTCGTCTAGGTAGAACTGCCGCCGCATCCACCGGTTGTGCAGCTTGCGCCGTGCTGTGACCTTGGCAGCCTTGGTAAGATGCGCTCGCATGAAAGCTTCCTCCCCTGCGCTCAGCTGGCCTGCCGTCGGTGTCCGCCAAGGATTGAAACGGGTCCGCGGGTTGTTCGTAATCGCATCTTGCTGTTCGGGCGTTGAACTGTCCAGTTGGGACACGCCCTCTCCTGGCATGCCCGGCTGATTTCGAGAGATGCGTTGGGCTGGATCTCTGTTTGCCGCCGACCCGTTTGCATTTGTAGTCGCGTGTGCTGTCGCATTCCCAGCGTGTCTTTCGGATGTAGAGGCCCGCGAGGGAGGCAATGGCTGGTCAATGACGGCCGTAGTGGACGCATTGTCGTCACTGTTGGTTTCGGCGCTTACGTGTGTGCGACCACCGCCCGCGAGCGCTTCACGGATCTCGGCGGTGCCCATGGCCACACTGTCGTCGCCCTGCTCGTATTCGTTGTCTTGATTTGACACAAAAACATCGTTACGATCTGACGGATCGCGTTGGCCCATGAGAAGCGAAGGGAGCTCATTTACGGTTCGCGGCGGGTTAAGCAGAGCATCCCAATAGTTAACAACGGCCGGGCCGTCGTCGTGCTCGTCGCCGCTATTGTCGTTGCTTGCAAAGTATCTCTCCTCAAAAATGCCCTCTCCATTAAGGCGGATTTCGGTACGCGTGTAGAGAAGCGACAGCAGCTCTTCGCGGTCTGCCATATCGGGCCGGTCCTCGGCGACCACACCGTCCGCACCGTCCGCCACTCGCACCTCGCCCATCGCATGGTCAATATACTTGCCGCCCATCATGCGCCGCGTGTCAGCGTGCGGCAGTCGGCCGTCGCGTCCAAAGAAGCTGCTGAGAGGTTGTCTGTTGCCGACCAGCTGGTGAGTCTCAATGCTGCTCATGACCTGGTCATCCAGCCCTTCCAAGATGTCCTTGTGCATCTGTTTATAGAGCACGTAGTATGCGCGGAAGAAGCGCAGGAAATCGCGCCGGTTGACCAGTCCGTCGCGGTCCGTGTCGTAGCCCTCAAAGATCTTGCGGAGCTTATCCTTGCGCTTGCGGTACGACAGCCCGTGCAAAAACTCGCAGAAGCCGATTAGCCCGTCATTGTTAGTGTCGTAAAAGGCAAACATGCGGTCGTGGATCAGATTTGGTGCCGCGTGTCTGTAACCACCCGAGGGCACAAGGCACCGCTCAAATGTTTTGCGGTCCATGGCGAGGCACAGGCCGTCTGGGTCGTCACGCCACTCCGTATTGGCCATATATGTCCACTGCTCCCAAAACGCCTCGAGCTCCTGGCGTTCAAAACCTGTCTCGCGCACCAGGCGCGACAGCAGTGACTTGGGTAGGCCCCGCACAAAGCCGTCCGGATCGCCCGTATACCACACCGGCTGCATCTGGCGCGGACCGAACGGAGGTGCAGGCACCTTCACTTTGTAGAAGATGTGTGTCTTGATGTGCAGGCCCTGCGACTCGCACGTCTCGCACAAATCAAAGTCGGCGCAGTTGGCGCAGCGGTAGCGGATGCCGCGGATGGGCACGATGCCACAGGCGTTGCACGCACAGCCGCGATGCACATAAGAACTGCGGCGGGCATTGTCCTCGGACACGCGGAACAAGAGGTTGACAATGTTATGACCAGCGCGCTGCACGGAGTTTGGCGGGCCTATATCGTCCAGCCACCGCTCGTCCATTTCGCCGTCGTCGACGACTGTTGCTTCGCGATCCTCGCTTTGTAGAGGGCGCACATTGTTAATGCTATTCTCGTCGGTGGTAGGTGCAGCTGCCGATTCGTCGATGCTTGTCGTGGTTTGGGGCTCGGTGGCCGAGCCACTAGGTTCATCGGTATGGGAGCCGCGTCGCGGGCGTCGAACGGCGTTACGTCGATGTAGGCCACCACCCGCGGCAAGCTCTGCATTGTCGGCTCTCCGCTGGCGCCAGCTCTCGTACCATATTCCAGCGCCGAGACTGAGAACCGCCGTGGTGGTGATGACGACGACAGCGAGGACACGAGGCTTCAGGAGGGTCGATACACCCGAGCCTGGTGATGAGTCCATGGCGAGCGCGGCCAGGCGGCTGCCAGGGGCAGGCTTGAGAAGGTGAGAGAGCTTTCAGGAGAATCGCTTCGAGAAGCTGAGCCGAAAGGGCTGTTGTGTCTACTATCGGCTATTGGCCCGGTGGTCGCAGGTCATAGCTGCTAATTCGGTAGACAACGCCGCACTCTGGATGAAGGGTATATCGAGCTACCGGGTCAGGATGTGAAGACTGCCAACGTAGATATGCTGACGACGATTGAAGCCGTTGGTGTTGTTTGCGACTGTTTGGTCAGACTGCAACGCGAAGCTCTTTCCGCGAACACTTTAGCTTGCCGTAGCTCATAGGCCCCCAGGCCCCCATAAGGCAGGAGCGGCAATTCGGATTATGTAATAAATAAAAGCGGATACCGGTCCAAATCGGACAGCCTCGGCGACTGGAGGTTATTGGATCAGGGACCATTTGGCAGGACCGACCACATTGATCTGTCAGCCCCCCCTAACAGGTACCAAAAGCGCTAGCACAGCCGTCCCCGATTCCTCAAACTTCCACCCCGCGGCCGCGCCGAGAGTGCATTTGAAATAGTGGCGTTCTCACTAGAATCTTCTTCGCGCGACCCTTCATATAAAAAAACTTCCCTCGCACCACGGCACACGACCTCAAACGATCAGCAGATCCGCTCTGTCTTCCCATTCCCCGACACGACTTTACACGTCGCCACGCTGTTTTCCTCATTTTCTCGGCGCACCCTGCGAACGGGTGCCTCTGGTCTCTGGATCGCTGCCTTTACAACTACCACGCCCAAAAAGAACACGCCCAGCGACCTGCACAAGTTGAGCACCAGGACTATGCACAGCAAGGTTGTTAGTATGTATATTGTTGTGTCCCAGGCCGGCCGTGGGACGTGGCCGCGTTTATTTCTGTGCAAAAATGGCTAACAAGCGCAGTCATCGGCTCCGGGCCTGCTGCCCACACGGCCGCCGTCTATCTGGCCCGCGCCAACCTGAAGCGTATGTGGAACGTTCCTTGGCATTGTGGGAAGAGACTTGATAAAGAAAAAACGCTAACATGTCTAGCCGTCCTCTATGAGGGCTTCATGGCCAACGGCATCGCGGCTGGCGGCCAGCTGACAACCACGACCGACGTCGAGAACTTCCCCGGCTTCCCCGACGGCGTCATGGGCGGCGAGCTCATGGACCGCATGCGCAAGCAGTCGGAGTACTTTGGCACCGAGATCATCTCTGAGACCGTCAGCTCGCTCGACCTGTCTGTGCGTCCTTTCAAATATGCGACCGAATGGTCCCCCGAGGAGTTCCACACGGCCGACGCCGTCATTGTGGCTACGGGCGCGTCTGCGCGGCGCCTGGGCCTGCCGGGCGAGGATCAGTACTGGCAGAACGGTATCTCCGCGTGTGCTGTGTGCGACGGCGCCGTTCCCATCTTCCGCGATAAGCACTTGGTTGTGATTGGCGGCGGCGACTCGGCTGCCGAGGAGGCTATGTTTTTGACCAAGTACGCCAGCCACGTGACGGTGCTGGTGCGCCGCGACAAGCTGCGGGCGAGCAACATTATGGCGAAGCGGTTGCTGGCACACAAGAAGGTGACGGTGCGATGGAACTCGGCAGGTGTCGAGGTCAAGGGCGACGACAAGGGTCTGATGAGCGAACTGGTGATCAAGGACACCAAGACCGGTGCGACGGAGACGGTGGCGGCTTCTGGCCTGTTCTATGCCATTGGCCACGACCCGGCGACGGCCCTCGTCAAGGGCCAAGTGGAGACGGACGACGAGGGCTACATTAAAACGACGCCCGGCACGACGCTGACCAACATCGCTGGCGTATTTGCAGCTGGCGACGTGCAGGACAAGCGGTACCGGCAGGCGATCACCAGCGCGGGTACCGGCTGCATGGCGGCGCTTGAGGCAGAAAAATACCTAGCTGAGCTCGAGGATGAGGAGGAGACGGCGAAGAGCAGCCTGTAGATGTTCGGTACGAATGATAGGTGGACATGTCCAACTCTAGACTATTTTATATAAACGATGTACAAGACTCGCTAGAGGAAATGTTATTATTTTGAATGAAACGGAAAAACAAGGAAGTTGCGTGATCCATTAAAAACAATTAAAAATAAACCGTAACTATATCAACATCAACACGCTGGCCCATTTTTGTATGTGCTTTCCAATATTTAACCCTGACCTTATTCCATACCCCTTGTGATGTGGTATTATGTTTACCATCTATGCGTTCTCGCCAATGGCCTCGAGCAGGGCCTGCGCTGTGTCCCGGTCACCGTCGCGCATATTGGGCACCTCATCGTCCCAGGACGGCTCGATCCACTCATCTCCTTCGGCCTCATGATGGCCACTCTTGTTCTGCTTGCTGCTGCTGACGTGCTTGGTAGTGCTGCCCGTAGGATGTCGGTAGTGACCAGGACCATGGTGGTCGTCTATGTCAGTAATTGTCGTGCCGGGACTGCCGCTACCGCCCCCGACGTTGCCATTGTTGAACGTATAGGCGTCCAGCATCGCTCCATCATTGTGCAGGTGCGCTTTCTGCTGGTTCTGATCAGGATGGCAGTTTTGGGCCCCGAAGTTGTGCTGCGCCTGTTGCTGCTGCTGGGCTTGTGGCGAGTTGGCAGCCTCGCTGCTTGTTGTGCCGACCGATACAGACGCAGGCGTCATTTCCTCGTCCGAGGACGGAAGCTGGGTCACGATGCCTGGCTTGAGCAGGGCGTTGGGCGGGAAAGCAGACATGTCCATATCCATGTCGCCAAGGTCCATGTCTATGTCCATGCCCATGGCCATGCCCATGCTCATAGCGAGGTGGTGCGGTGCCAGCATAAACGCGGCCGAGGAGTCACCGCCAGGGAAGTCACCCATATCACCTGGTATGCCACCGGGAAAACCTCCCAGGCCGTTTGTACCACCAATGCTGCCCATAGCATCCATAGCGTCCATAGTAGCGGTCATAGACGCAGGATCGTCCATCATATTGACGATTCCGGGTGTCGGAACCGTTGGCATTGGCTGCTGCGGCTGCGGCCGCTGCTGCTGGGAACCGTCTACAACATGCATGTTCATGCCGTTGAAATTGTCTATGGACATGCCATTGAGGTTGGTGGTTTGCGAGTTTGTCATGTTGCCCAAGTTGGAGTTGTTGGCAGGCGGGAACGGAGTGCTGCGAACCTCGTTGGAGTTTGCTTTGGCGTTGCTATCATTGTCCTTATTCATGTTGCCACTGTTTCCACCGTTCCAGCTGTTGCTGCTTTCGTTATTGCCATTTCCGTTGTTGTCATTATTGTTATTGGTCCGGCTCCCATCCTTGTTGTAGCCCAGACGCAGGTTGCGTATCGAGCTGAAGCCGGCGGTAAACAGACCTCGCAGGCCGACAGGGAAGTCCCGCTCTTCAGGCATGCGGTTCTTGCTCAATGCCAAATCCATAGTCAAGGCCAGACGCAGGTACCAGGACGGGTTGGACGCCAGAATGTCGGTCCAGTCGGAGATGCCGCCATTGTTGTTGCCGCCATTGCTACCGTCGTTTCCACCGTTCCCATTGGCACCGAGTGCCGCCGGCCCATCCAGCTGGGCCAGGTTGACAATATGACGAATGGTCTCGCTGACCCAGTCAACACCGTCGTACTGCGGCTGGTAGGTCTTCATGGCTTCGATCAGGATGTTGAGGCGGTGCTGCTTGAGGGCAGAACTGGCGGACGTCGAGTTGCCATCGGCGCCGCTGCCTTCGTTGGGCGTCCTGGCCGACGGGTTGCCATTGTTGTTACCGTTGTTGTTGGCGGCCGACGTCGAAAGCTTGACATCGAGGATGTGCAGGAAAAGGGGCAAAGCCGTGCAGGCCACGCTAGACGACAGTTAGAGAAGGTGCGATGGGGAGGTGGACGGTCGAGAGGAAGGGGGGCAGGAATGAACGTAAGAGGAAGGAGCTAAACAGACATAAAACGCATTGCAAAAAAGAAAGACGGAGGGAACGTACGCGCTTATGGGCAGCCAGCGAGCCAGACGCAATTGGATCAACTCCTTCAAGCACTCAGTGACACCAGATGCAGCATCCTGCAGCTCATAACGGTTCTCGTAGATGACGGGGACCGCCTTGTTTCCATTCGCAAACCCGGGCGTGGCGTTGGCAACGGCAATGTGCAGCACCTCGTGATGGCACAGGGCAACACGCGACGAGTGGTAGTACATATACAGGAGGTTTGTGTACAGGATCACTGAGTCGTGGTAGAACTCACGGCCGCCGTTGGCCAGACGCGCGACACCACCACCGCTAGCATGGCCCGACGAGTTGCCCGGCGAGCCGTCACTGTTGCCGCTACTGCCGCCAAACATGGGGAACGTGAGCGCCACGTCCTTGTACCAGCGACGCAGCTCGATTTTGCACTGGCGCACGCGTCCAGCATCGCTGTCGGCCATCTGGCGGCCCCAGCCCGGCGTGTCGTCCTGGGGGAACACGAGTGTCAAGATGTCGGTCAGCACCACGCACAGCTCAATCATGTGCACGAGAATCTCAATCAGACACGACTTGGTGCCTGGGTTGTAGACGCGCGAGCGCTCAATCTCGTCGGCGAGGTCGGCACGCGTGAGCGGCGGATTGGCTTCGAGGTCAAAGTGGGCACGGGTGATTTGGATGCTGCGGCGCACACCCAGGCCCATGACGCGATCGCGGATGATGCAGCACCACCAGAGGCGCTTGAGAGCGTTGGCGCGGCGGCTGTCGGGCGGCAGTGAGGCGTAGTGGTTGGCTTCGGCGAGCTTGGCCTGCTGGATGGCGGTGCAGAGCCAGGCCGTGTTGGGGTTCTTGGTGCCCAGGTTGGTCGAGGGCGACCAGAAGCTGAGCAGCAGCGCGGCCTGCGCAATGGCCGCCGGCGACGACTCCGTCTCAAAGTCGTACAGCAGCTTGGAGCGGCGGTACAACGCGGCGCGTGCCAGGCGGATGGTCGGGAAGCCGAGAGCGCGGATGCTGGTGCGTGACACAAAGTTGCACGTCGCAAACAGCAGCGCTTGGAA